CCCTCGCATCATTCTTGACCTGGGAACGTGCTGCACACAGATAGAAAGAAAAAATATACGCCACATGGCAGCCGGCGAAGGTACGTGAGAGGGGTCGGCATAATAATAAAAAACAGAAGAGATCCAGCGGGCAAGGAGGAGCCATGTGTCAGTAGGCAACACTGCAATGGATGAATGTAAAGGATACGTTTCTTATGCCCGGGAGAAAAAAAATTGGCAGCATATCCACAGAGTGAATGATGGAGAGTAGGGCGAAGCATTCGTCGTCCATTCGTTCTTGCTTACGTCCATCCATGCGTCCGTCTGTGTGACCGTCCATGCGTCCATCCGCCCGTCAGTGCGTGCATCTGTTCGTGCGTCCGTCCCTGCGTACGTCCATGCACCCGCCCCTGCGTCCGTTCATGCGTCTATCCATGCATCTGTCTGTGTGTTCATTCGTCCATATATTCAACACTCCAAGTACCACCATCTTGGATCTTTTCATCATATATTCCCCATATAGAAGCACCACCATCAAATATGCCAATATGCCATTTCCTCAGTCACCATAGAATGATAAGAGCTCATATTCACCTAGATTTAAAAAAGCAAAGGCATAAACTGACATGCAAGAAGCCAATTAACGAGCCAGTGGTGAAAGGGAAAGTAGAGGAATTCAGAGTATCACATCAGAATAAATTCGCAGCTCTAAACAAAATAAGAGACGTTAGCATTGGCAAAATTAACGATAACCTTACTAGTATCACCAAAGAGTGTGCAATTGAAGTTGGGGGTTCAGTCACTAGACGAGAAACTGGCAAACCATCTCAGGAGACAAAAAATCTTATTAAGAGACAACAAACGATGCAAGCCTCAAATGGGACCGACAAAATAGAGCTAGTGGAGCTTTCGAAGTTAATCAATAGGCGTAGAGTAGCCGACATCAGAAGGTATAACATGGAGAGATTAGAGCAGGCTGTAAAAAGCGCAGAAGCCTAAAAACTGCAAAGGCAACATTGTACATAGGCAGAAATCGGATGCATGCACCAAAAGACAAGGAAGGCAATGTCATAACCAATATGAATGGGATAGTTGATGTAGCGAATGAGTTCTACAGAAGGCTGTACAAAAGCTGAAATAGCCAGGATGATATCGAAGGAGCAATAATAGCAGAAAGGAATTCGACTTCCTACCAGTAATGACAGGAGAAGGAAAGCCCTAGAAGAAATGCAAGGAGGCAAGGCCGCTGGTGAGGATAAGGTAACAACGGACCTCCTGAAAGATGGCGGAGAAATTGTGCTAGAAAAGTTAGCCACCTTATATACAAAGTGTATCTTGACGGTAGGGGTACCAGAATCTTGGAAAAACACCAACATCATCTTAATCCATAAGAAAGGAGACGTCAAGGACTTGAAAAATTACAGGCCGATCAGCTTACTGTCCGTTCTCAACCAACTATCTACAAATATAATAGCTAATAGATTTAAAGCGATATCGGAGTTCAATCGACCAAAGGACCAAGCAGGATTTCGTGCTGGCTACTCCAAAATATACCATATTCATACCGTTAATTAGGTGATAGAATAATGCTCGAAACACCACCGATCCCCCTACATAGCCTTCATAGATTACGAGAAGGCATTTGAGTAGTGATGCAGGCGCTACGAAATCAAGGCATCGACGAACCCTACATAACCATACTGGAAGAAATCTACAGTGGATCCATAGCCACCACAGTTCTCCATATAGCGAAAGAATGCAAATAAGGAAGGGTGTAAGGCAGAGAGACACAAACTCTCTAATGCGGGTCACCACGTGTTTACAGGAGATTTTTATGGCCCTAAATTGGGAAGAGTTAGAGATAAGAGTTAAAGGAGAGTATCTTAGTAACCTGCTTTGATTGCCTTGATGAGCAAATGAAGGAACGAATAACAACTCATTACTGAACTGGACATGATAAGCACAAGGGTAGGTCTGAAAATTAATATGCACAAAGCTAAAGCAATGTGTCACAGTCTTGGCAGAAAACAGCGCTCTGCGATAGGTGGAGAGACGCTGGAAGTTGTAAAGGAATATGTCTACTTTAGGACAGGTAGTAACTGCGGAGCCAAACGCTGAGGGTGAGATAACTAGAAGAATTGGGATGGGGTGGATCACATAGGGCAAGCATACTAAAATCATGAATTGTAACTTACCACTAACCCTCAGGAGGAACGTATATATATAACAGCTGCATCTTGCAGGTACTTTCACCACAGAGCAGAAACTTGGAGGCTTACAAAAAGGGTTCAGCTTAAATTTAGGAAGACGCAGCGAGCGACGGAAAGAAAAATGATAGGTGTAACATTAAAAAACAAGAACAGAGCAGAGTGGGCCAGGGAACAAACGGGGGCCAAGGATATCATAGTTGAAATCAAGAAGAATAAATGGACATTGGCTGGGCATGTAGCACGTAGACAGAATAACTGCTGGTCATTAAGGGTAACTAACTAGATTCCCAGAGGAAGGCATCCGAACGAAGGGGTGACAGAAAATTCGGTGAGCCGATGAGATTCAAAAGTTTGCAGGTGTAACGTGGCAGCAGAAAGCACAAGACCAGGTTGATTGGCAGATTATGAGAGAGGCCTTTGCCCTACAATGAGCGTAGTCAAGGTGATGATGATGATGACGATCATAACGCACTATTTCGCGTCACTGTTGCTGCTGGTCATCATTTCGGCACATGCCAGCTAAAGAGCGAAGCAGGAGGAACAGCTGCTGAGCGGACAAAGAGGGCTCATAAAATGAGCCGTTTCGCAAACAGACAGGTGCCTCCAGCCCCCCTGCCTGTGCGCAGAAGGGGATGTGCGCCTACAATTCCGTGGTGAGGATAAAAAGGCTCTCCTGGCAAAAAACCAGCTGGGAGAAGGCACCAACCCTTTCCATCTTAGATCTGAATTTGTCTTTATTTTTGTTTTTGTAGTGGCTTGAAGAGCTTGATACGGATGGTGGAGTTTCTTTGTCGCTGGTCAAAACTAAGGTTACTAATGCGTTTCATTTTACTTTTCTGTGCTTTTCTATTGAACCTCGTACCAACGCAGCAACTACAAAAATGGTCACCGTGACTACAAAGCATGACAGAGATGCTGGATCCCGTTAAACCTCTGAATTTTTTTGGCTGATGTGAGATATCCATACGAAAGGCTTATCTCTCTCTCTTCCCCCTTCTTGCTTTTGCAAGTTTGCGAGCTGCCTCTTTCCGTATGATCGGTACACTGTAGTTGAAGGGGTGCAATGCACTCTTGTAGTTCGTCAGGCGGCTCACCAAACAACTCACAAAGGTCAACAATACTTTACCGCCCTCGTCCTCCCACAAATTCCTTTTTGCAGTATAAGAGAAGGGAGTGACACGGAATGTTGTAAAAAAGAGCGGCAAATACCTGGCTTTGATACAGCAGCTCCAGCTCACATTCTGGCAAGCCAGGCATCAGACACCACATTTGCTACTGTGGTAGCACAGTCAATACAGTAAAAGCTCATTAACCCAGATATCATGGGACTGGAGAAAATGGCTGAGTTAACTGAATTCCGGATTATCAGCGAACCATCAAAACAAAAAGAAAATGTACTCCGCACACACAAACCTATATTTCATAGAAAACTGCATCAACTTAGTCTGTTTCGTCATCGGAATCAGTGCTAGAACGATCTCCTTCAACCCCATGTGGTGGTGGCGTGCACGCTCGCTGTCGCAAGAACTGATGCAGCACTCCGCAAGGACAGCGAGAGCTTCGGCAGCCTCCTGCACGGTGCGATGTCACGTCGGCTCATCTTAAATGTCATCATCACAACAGTGATTCTGATCCTCTTCAAGACCTTTGATAATATGTCATCATAAGTCAGCTAACCAGTAACGGCCACACCATCATCAACGCGCACAAACACAGCCTGAGAACATAATGACAGTTTCTATGTCAAAGCGCCAACTCGCCGAACAGCCATATCTTTTGACGTACACGAGCTGCACACACTATGCACGAAGTCACAACGCAAATAAATCAGCAGCGTAGGCGATGCGGACAACTGGGGTAGCAGCGGCTGCGCAAACTGTCCCATGCGGTGTCCTATCATGATTACCATCAACGCGCAACCTGGCCCTTCCACTGCATCCTACAGCACCCCCCCCCCCCCCCCCCCCGGTGTTCTTCGCCTGCGAGAGCCCAAGGTCATTGGCGGTGCTGATGAGACCAACCTCGAAGACTGGTGCACCCACTACAAACTGGTGAGCACTAACAACAAGTGGGATGACTCGGACCCATATGCGATGCATTTCGCAGACACTGGATGCACCGGCGACCCAAGCGCCTCCACAAGGGTGGTGACTAGCACCACCTGGCCACTTCCCCCCTCATTCACTATCATCATGATTATATTCTGCTCCTGTTCATTCAATTTTGGTTTCTCCAAAACTTCGGTTCTGCTGTCAGTTACAGCGGCGGAGTCGGGATTGCATGCTTTCAGTAACCGGAATCGATCAGCGAAAGCACGACACCTCAATAGCTTTCACTGGAATCACCTAAGTTATCCGGTGCGTGTCTAAATCCCTCTGAATTAACGAGCATTTGACACCATTGAAATATACGCAGTTTTGCCGGGAGTGTGCCGCGTGTCCAAATTAACCAAACTTTAGAGTTAACAAAATTTCGGTAAACAAGCTTTTACTGAATTACTTTGCAAAAACCAAGCAACAATGATGTGCGAGCTTCCCCTACATTAGTGCTTCGAGCTAATTTTACTGGAGCAGCTCTCCAGCGTTGCCGGGCTGGTTGGGGCGAATAAAATGTATTCAGATGACCCCGTGAAAATCGAGTTAAAGGGCTGCTTTTTTTTTTTCTTGTTAGCCGAATAAATTTGGACTGCATGCCATTATCACTGCCGTATTTGCTGCATTAGTGTGTCTGTACTTCAGTGTGCACCGCCCACAAATAAAACATGTTGGGTTAGATAGTGTTGGAGGGCCCGCTTAAAGCATGCTCACCAACCTGGTGCTCATTGGAAGAGGCATCTGTGACCGGTGGTGGTGGTGGCCGGTCATCCAAAGAAGGCACACTGCTGGTCACATCCTCTTCGACGACAGCAGTGACCTCCTCTTTTACATCAGTCTCTACCTGGCTGCTGAAACTGCGGCGGCCCCGTCGTTTGCGCTCCATCCTGCATAGTGATGAAGGCATCACCATTGTACTCTCTTTCCTGCCATATCAGCTAACCGGTAAATTTTCTAGAAGGATAATTTCACTGGCTACATGCCTCCACCAAGTACAATCAAGACCTGTTCATACATACAAACATATTTCATTCAGAACGTACTGCAGTCAAAGAGGCTTTAAGAACACACAGATAACAAGCAGAGCAGAATGGTGCAATACTGCCTCAATCTGCTCTCATCATCATACTTCTTAGGTGTGCTGCTCCTCACGAGTTCTCGAAACGAGCAGTCAAACACCGCTTGCTCTGCACAACTATACCAACACAGATGTAGTACCCTTCTACACTGCCGTTCTGTCCCATTTTCTCCCCATGTCTCCCTCGTATGTTTCACTCGCAAGCAGTATTAAGGGGAAATGGCAATGGAGACTATTTTTGTTATTCATGGAGATTAAATGATGAAATTTGGCATGCAGGTGTCGCTCTCAGTGGGCGAGCGTGTCTCTGCCGAGTTTGCAGCTTCGGCCGCTTTGTTGATGAGGGCGCTAATACTCCAGTCATCATGGAAGACGCCAGTTTGCTTTGCCATGTGGTCGCCTCAGGACTTATGCACGTTTGTGTGCTTTCTCCAGTGTTTTCTTGCGCTCACCTTATGTTTCTTTCCTGTGTTTGAACACGGTTTTTATTGTGTGCCTGTGTGTGGGAGATGTTTGTTTCTAGCGGAGTGATGCACGAGTCTGTTGTGCTGCTGTGCAAGCCACGAAGCTGTTGTGTGGCACTGTGTTCACAACAGCAGCATGTTTGTGGGTGTGTTTGCAGCAGAAGGTCTTTTCTAGTGGTGTGATGGCGCAAAGCTGCTGTGTGCTGCTGTGCAAGTGGAACGCGAGAAGAGACACTGGCTTGCAGTCCCAAAATTCCCCTGCGATCTATAGCTTCGGGGAAACCAGTCTGAAGAATATATTTCGTCAGGAAGAAGAAGAACGTCATTGCTCCAGTATGCAAGGCAGAGACCTGTTTGCGCAGTAATGGGGTTCGCCTCGCAATTTATGAGCGTTGGTTTGTTTGTGCACGGCACCTGGTTAGTGTGATCGTGCGTGTGGGCAGCTAGACTCATGTTTTCTGTGCTTGAGTATGATTTTTATAGTGGGTGCGTTTCTAGCAGACAATGCTTTCTAACGGTGTGATGCCGCGAAGCTGTTGTGTACCACTGTGCAAGTGGAACGTGAAGAGAGACGCTAGCTTGAAGTCCCAAGAATTCCCCTGTGATCTACAGCGTCGGGAAACCAGGCTCAAGAATATTTCTCGCCAAGGACTGCCAGGGAGAGGAAGAATGTGGTATGTTCATTACATTTTACTGAGAATGACTACAAAAGAACATAAAGATTAGGATTTTCGCTTCCAACTCCGGCCCCTATTTTGTTTCCCAGTTATTCGCACTACCTGCGAAAGAAGCACTAGTTGGGCTAGTTAATGGTTCATGCCATTTTTAAAACTTTTACTGAACGTTATTTTCCAAAACTTTTGGTAGAATTCGCAGATGAAGTCTCGGTTGTCCATGCCATATATGCAGGGTGTTTTGTACAATTCTTTCTTTTTCTAAAATCAAAATATTATTCACTTTACATGTGGTCGCCTCAGGACTTATGCACGTTCGTGTGCTTTCGCCAGTGTTCTTTTGTGTGTGATAGTGTGCGATAATTTTACACAATTTTTACATATTTAAATGTAATAAAAGCTCTCTAGTCAGCATTAAAAAATTAAGATGCGCAAATGGGGTGTGCATCAGCGCGACTAGAAGAACTTTACTTGTTTAAACAAGCTGCCCTCCACTCGATTGCTTCTCGAAGGGTCAAATCGGAGTCGATTTCTCCCGTGTTTTAAGCATGCTTGCGCTTTGTGATCATGTTTTGTGTGATGCCAGTGCTGCTGATTACAAGGATGCGCTATACTCAAGCGAGGAGGTGTGGCTTCGTATCGTGGAGCACTCGCCAGGCATGTACCACATTGCTGCTGGTGGTGCTTTGTTATCACCATGTTCACCAAGTTTTTCCTACTATGTGCACGATAAGTAAGCTTTTGTTTACTTGGCGACCCCTTTTTTCAGCAGTGTAAAGGCAAAGTTGTGCAAAGTTAAGCGCAGACAACTTTTTTTGTGTGTGTGTGGAGTGTGAAGCATGCACGCGCAGCGGGAATTCAGTGGCAGATTTCAGCAGAGTTGTAGCGGCGGCTGCCTCTGTTGACAGTGGTGTTGGATAGGGGGCCCTGCTTGCGAGTGACCACTTTTTTTGTTTAATAGTTTTGGGGCGTCTGTTAGAGTTGATGCGTGTTTGCGTACAGTGTGTTGCATTGCCTTAGGTATGGCTCACAAAGAATGCACTTAAATTAGTGTCCATGCAGCTCGTTAGTAAAATTCGAACTTACGGTATACACCAGCAACATGGGTTGCCTCATGCGGCCTGAATCCGTGCATTGTAAGCCATTCGTTTACCTTGAACTGTCTTTTCGAATGAATATTTCATGGCTAAATGTGGCCGAATCGTTGTACCTTAATGTGCGAGCACTAATTGAATCATTAGTCCATGCGTTCGAGCACCATCGATTTAATCTGCTTGTTCTCACTGTTTGGACATTGTTTTGGTTTATTGAATATTCTACTCACCTCGTCCAACCTTGGTGTTGAAACTTTGCTAAACACTTTTACGTGTACAAACATTAAGAATAGTTTAAAGCACCACCTCCAATGACATTTTCTGATTATTGACATGCTTGACGGCATATTGAATAAAATAAACTCTCTAGGCATGTGCTACATATGTTAACGGGATCTGTGGTGTGTGCTGAATTAATATTTTATTGATAACTCAAAACTCGCGATAATGTTATACAGTTAAATCTGGATATAACGAAATTGATGAAGTCTCAAAAAAATTCGTAATAAAGAGGATTTTGTTTTATGCAGGTTTGGTACAAAAATTCAAAAAATAAACACACAAATTAAACAAGAGGAGTACTGAAAGAGAGCTAACTCAACACACTTTTTTTACTGTGAAAAAACTGCGTTATTATTGCGATAGCAATTACATGGGTGCACTTGGAGAGTTTTTTACGTCACCGTCATGTTCCGTAACAAGTCAAAATTGATAAGATGCCTCCGTGCATCGTAACTTTCACGAGCGGGTAAAAGCAGGCGAGCGCTGCTGAAAGAGAGATCAAATCAGGCAGCCCATTTTTATCACCTGGAATCACCTCGCGCGTTAACACCGCATGTTAGAACTGCCATCAAATGTTCAAACAGACTAAGCCACCTGTCGTGAACGAGCATGAAACAACACGGGGAGGTCAGGGGGAATCGATCGAGTAGCATTAGAGAACTTGGATTTTAAGGGCCGTAGCGATCGCTGGCACACTTGTTCTCTCGGCGAGTATCAGCAGTCTCGGCAGTTTCAACACGAAGTGACTGTGTGAAAAGTGCACTTCTCCCTGGAGAGGCCGTATTTGCTCACACCAGCATTTTGAAGGAGTTCCGCGATATCCGATCCAAAAGAGTTGGCTACAGCCTTACTTCCTATACCATTACAGTTTCTTGCTACCGTGTTCATTGCATTGCATTTAACGTGCCGCCGTGTTGCCAGAACTAATCAACTAATCGCGAAAGCTACCAGCCTGCGAACTCGCAACACAAGACGGAAGCGCGTGACGAGACGACCTCCGAGCTACCGTCGTCACCGTGGTCTAAAGAGTTTCCCTCAACGCCTCATCTGACATATTCTCGGTGAGAACGACACGGTTGTCCAAAATTAAGAAAAGTCACAGTTTCGCCGCAATGGCAGCAAAGCAATTAATGACTGCAATAGCAGCAACTTTGAATGTGTAACGCTAAGATTGGCAGGCAGATAGAAACGCGAAACGCGCTGCTCACGCACAAATGACGCACAACAGCAATTCACAGGACGAGAGCAAACTAACAACGTTTATCGCTCGACACTTAACGCGCTGTTTAAACAAAAATGAGACACGAAACGTAATCACAGGTACAGATATGAGTCAGAACTAACAAGTGCCCCAGCTGTTACTTCGTGGTGTTTGGAAAACTCGCTCTCTTCGCAAATGATGCCTATCCAGCGAGCGAAGTAATCTTTGTGCACTCGGCAAAATGTAATCGTTCAGGTCAAAGTCGAAGGCGCTATCTTCCTCGCTGAAGGATAAGCGTGTGCGCACAAACATCTAACCTACTCCCTCCCTTCTATTCCCAGAGCAAGGTACGCGTGGAGATAAGCGCGCCTCGCGCGTCGTGACAAGCTGGGTGCCAAGCCCGGGCGTTTTTTTTTTTTTTTTTGAGTTTTCATATTGGATACGTACAGTGCTCAACTCTGTTGTCTATAACAACGGAGCGTCGCGCGCGAAACAGCACGAGCGACATTCGCCGTCGCAAATACGCCTCGCCTGAGGATGTGCGATGCCAATGATGCGCCTGCCCTGCAGTTTCCACCCTTCTTTATCTCCACGGCCGCGATGACTGCTTTGGCCGTTGAAGGCGCTGTCAACATTACAAAATCTAAGTAAAACAACAAAAAGAAATATTCTCACTTTGTGACATCATATCACAGCGACAAACGTTTTACATAGTCTTTCTTTCTTGTTTTTTTTTATTGTTTTATGGCGAAATCGCCCAGAGCGCTTTCGACAGCCAAAGCGGTTGTTGCATCCGTGGCGATAAACAGGGATCAGTATTGCGAGGCAGGCACATCACTGGCGCCGCGCATGCTCAGATGTGGTGTATTTGTGACTGCAGATGTCGCCCGTGCTGTTTCACGCACGACATTTTGTCGTTATAGACAGCCGAGTTGAGCACTGTACAGTGCCGGCCACTGTTAGGGTGAACGCACGAGCACGTGGCCGCACATCGAAGCAAACCTGCGCCTGCGCCGCAGTGCCTGCAGGCGTGGCTTCACGCCGTCCGCTACAATGCTCGCGCTCTTGGCGAGCCAACCTTGCCCTGCAGTGAA